TCTCTAAGGATGCCATTGCACACTCTTGTCCTCTCCATCTGTCCCCACCAAGTCTCTTGTTGTCATGCCCCAGTCTAAGTGCACCCATCTGGTGCTGATTCACATGGTTGTGGGGAAAAGCACCACAAGAAATCAGTTCAGTTGCAATCATCAGAAAAGGTGCTCTTTCCCTGAGATTTTTTTTATTTTCTGTAAGCCCTGATCATTCCACTGATCCTGGGAAAGGCACAATGCCTCCAGAAGCCAATGTGGCCAAACTGAGAGCAGAAGGTGGTCTTGTGAGAAAGGTGGGAAACGCTTGAACTGGCTTAGCTTCTGCAGAAAATGTGCCCTACACCTGATGATTTCCCTTATGCTAGGGCATTTCTAGAAATTCTTTTTAAGATGTATCTTCTGCTTTCAGCACCTGAGCAGCTTTTGAAAAACTTAAGTCTTTAGCTTCTCTGCACGCTCCTCAATTTCATCTGGAACCTGGACATAATTGTATAGCTGTGGAAATAAATGGATTATCACTGCAGATAGGCTGATGCTCACAAAGCATAAGTGTTTAGGAAATATAAATATTTCTTTTTACTTGGATACTAAAAAATGTTTGCATAAATGGACCTTTAAAGAAAGCATTAATTGTTCTTTGTTGTTTGTTAGAAGCTGCATTTTCCGTGAGCTGTTCACAGACAGCAAGGATATTCTGTGACCCTGAGTTCCCTACTGCTTCTTATAAAGGAGACAAATTTAGGTGGCGTTTTTTATTTTCCTCATGCTCCCTGACATATCCTCCTCAGCAGGTAAAGATGAGTCTTGTCGTCTGACAAATAAGTCTGCTGCAGGGTGGGACGAACTCTTCAGCTCCGGCTGACTTCAGCCAAAGCTGAGCTCCTTACTTACTTTTCTTATCGGATCAAAGACTATTTTTCAAGTAGTCTGATTCCCTCTTTATTGCGTTGTTTTCATATAGAAGGAAAGATATGGTCTTTAAGCTTCACTTACAGACAGTGGCCTGCCCTCTGGGCTCACTGTGCTTAGACCGCAGAGCATCTGGGAGTGTCATAGCACCTCTTGCCCCTCCAGATCCACCTGGGGCAGATGTGACTGAGCCCCAGTGACATGGAGCCCTGAAGGGGGCAATAAAACCCACAGCAATCCTGTTCCTGCCCCTCCATGGCTTCTGCTCCAGATGGGTTTAGCTACTTTATCTTTTCTGCATGTTGTCACAGAGGAGGAACAGTCAAGGCAGTGATTGCTGCTCTCTCCATTGATTTTGAGGTCATAGCCGGAGGAAGAATTTTATTATTCCTCCCTATTCTGAGTTCATTCTCCCATTTTTCAGAGTCTAACCCAAAGAAAGCATCATAAGTGGCAAGAAGAGATAAATAATTCACTGCTCTAAAGGAGTGAGCATGGTCTGGATAGAAAAGAGACGTTTCATGCACTCATTTTAATTAGATGAAGAACAAGATTTAAAGGTATATCACTCATTGATATAGTAGATAAGAAGGCCGTGACTGTGTTTAGGAAAGCAGAGAAGCAGCAGACAATCATTGTAACCTGTTGTCAGATAAGCCACTGTGACAGAAGGTATTGGCTGGAAAAGAGAAAGCCATTCCTGGAAAAAACAACAACAGCAAAACAAACAAGAAAAAAAAAAAGACAATGAAAGGACAGAAACACCACAGATTTTTTTCTTAGATGATCAAGCATAAGGAGGCTGTTTGTGATTGGGCTGTTGAATTGTTCAACAGCTAGAAGTACTCTGCTGTTGCTCAATATAGCTATATATTTCTGCAATGACTTTTCTACTGAATTCTTTCTTCTCTGAATGGAGCCTGAGGCACAGCCCACTGAAGTAATCAGCAGCTTTGCCTTTCTCTTTGTAGGTTGGATCTTATGCCCCTGGGGGGTTGTTTAGGTGCAATGAGATAAGTAATGCTCTTAAATTGATACCAGCAGCAGCCCCACCCCTACTAGAATGAGAAGCAAGACTGAAACCACAGTGCCTGCCATAGCTGGAAACAAGAAGGCTTACACTAAATTCCTGCATTGTAGAGCAGTCTCATGAAGAGAGAGCTTCTGATCTCTCCAGTGTTTTCTGTGGGGGTTCTTGCAAACATTTCACTAGATAACAATCTTATACTGGAGTGTTTGCTTTGCTATTCAGGGCTCTGAAAAGCTTGTCTTCACAGGAAAATCATCTCACATGAAATAAAGTACAATTATGATTCCTCAACAGCTCTTACATGGATAGGCCTACTCCTGGTCTTTCTCTGGTTGGTTAAACTAAACTGATTTCAAAACTCAATGTGAAAAGGGTTTTTAGGACAAATTCTGACTGTTGGGGCAGGGAACTTCTCCAAAACTATCTGGCTACCTTATCTCCCTACTATTTATTTGCCTACCTATATTTGTCTGCTCAGGTGGCCAAGAAGGCCAACAGCATCCTGGCTTGCATAAGAAACAGTGTGGCCAGCAGGGCTAGGGAGGTGATCGTCCCCCTGTACTCGGTTCTGGTGAGGCCACACCATGAGTACTGTGTTCAGTTTTGGGCCCCTCGCTACAAGAAGGACATCGAGGTGCTTGAGCGAGTCTAGAGAAGGGCGATGAAGCTGGTGAGGGGCCTGGAGAACAAGTCCTACGAGGAGCGGCTGAGGGAGCTGGGCTTGTTCAGCCTGGAGAAGAGGAAGCTCAGGGCCAACCTTATTGCTCTCTACAGGTACCTTAAAGGAGGCTGTAGTGAGGTGGGGGTTGGCCTATTCTCCCACGTGCCTGGTGACAGGATGAGGGGGAATGGGCTTAAGTTGCACCAGGGGAGTTTTAGGCTGGATGTTAGGAAGAACTTCTTTACCAAAAGGGTTGTTAGACATTGGAACAGGCTGCCCAGGGAAGTGATGGAGTCACCATCCCTGGAAATCTTTAAAAGACATTTAGATGTAGAGCTTAGGGATATGGTTTAGTGGGGACTGTTAGTGTTAGGTCAGAGGTTGGACTTGACGATCTTGAGGTCTCTTCCAACCTAGAAATTCTGTGATTCTGTGATTCTGTGATACCTTCTTGCCTAGGCTTGCACAGCTGTCTAGATGGTCCCAGTGAGGATCACTGCAGCCACTCACCTGCTATTGCCAGGGGGCTTTATGCACTTGCTGTGGAATATGTTGGCAAACTTAGTCCCTTGGAAGTGTGTCCTTTGTGGGTGTCCAATTTTGGTCAAAAGTATCACTTCAGGTGCTTACCTGCATCTTTCTGTCACTGTCGCTAAGTCAAAAGTCCTCCCACTCCCTGCAGCACCCTGAGGGGGGGGGGGAGGTGCAGAGGGAGGCGCCGGTCTGTGCTCCCTGCAACCAAGCACAGGGCATGCAGGAACAATATAATGGTTCTGTTCTATCCAAAGAAAGCATGTGGCCTAATAGAGGAAAAGAACATCTTATGGATGTCTGTAAACACACAGCTAACGAAACATGGACAATAACTGCAAGCTAGGATTAGACTCAGCTGTTGTTTCGTTATGTTTTTGCTCCACCAGACTTGAGCTAGCTTTCAGTTAGCTGTCAGGAGAGTGCCTAATACAGGGCAGATGGATGTGCTATAAACCACAACAGGCAACTAATGAATCTAAAGGGGTATTACAGGATGGCATGCCAAATGGGTCATGGTAAAAACATTGCTTTGGTACAATGCCTGAGGGAGAGCCTAGGTAGTTCAATTTATATATTGGAAGTACAGGAAGTACATAAAGATAAATGAGTATCGTTACAGCTATTGTAAATCACCCTTATTGGTAGAGATTTTACTAGAAACTTTTTGATGAAAATGTTGTCATTTTAGGCTAGTGCCCATCTGACCCCCACCTCCCATATTCTGAAAGGAAACCTGAAATGCTTCAAATTTTGGTCAAATTTCATGGCAGGTTTACCCATATTCCTGCTTGAACACTCTCTTTTTCTTTTCCTACCCTTTTCAGAAGTAAAAATAATTTTTTCAATAAAAGAATTGTAAGAGGAAAAAAATGTGATAACTTCCTAGCTAACTATGTTTTGAACTAGTTCTGATAAATAATTCCAAAGATATAGTCATAATGCTAAAATAATTTCTGGGATTACCATTGTCAATATAATACATTTTCATGGATCTTGCTGTCTTCTCTTTGTTTTGCAAAATGAAAACTAGATGACATACCAGTTTGAATCTGAAAAGATCTTAAATCCATCAACTGATGTATTATCAACTGGTTTGATGTTCTTGCTTGCCATTGCTGGCAATTTTACATAAATCATGTGTTTGCATTCTTTTTACCAACACTTGCCAATCAAACCATTAAAACAGATCACTTTCCCTTCTTCAAACATTTATTTTCAGGACTTTCACAAAAAAAGATCTCATGTCCCTTTCTTTGTACAATAAGCAAACCCAGCCTGGTTTTATGCAGGTAATGCAAACATCAGAAAATCAAGTACCAAAAAGAGGATTAATGAGTAACTAGTTCCTTCAGAAGTTTGGTGCATGGCTGCACAGCTGATGGCCCATAGGTCTTTTCCATCAGGTCCTGGCAAAATGATTTTTCCACTGTTAGATGGGATCATAAAATGTATTTGTATCCAAAAGTCCAATCTGAACAAATCCCTATAATGTCATCTTGTCACTGGTTATCAAAATTTTGGATGATCCCAACTTAAAAGATTGGGAAATCTTTCACATGCCTTTTAAACATTTCCCAATCACTTCAGTGAGGTTAGATTTTTTTATTTTTTTATTTTTTCCAAAGAACCAGATCCAACATCAGCCTCTGTAGGTGTTCTAATTTACCGTAAGTATACTTAAGCTCTTAAGATGCAAATAGTGGCCTCATTAGATCTTCCAGAAGCACCAAGTTTCCTGGCACTTATCTTCAGCTCTGGGGACATACTTATGTTAAAAATTTTAGCCCTCAGTCTCTGTTTATAACTTGCGATTTCTGACATTTTCTTTTTTCTTTTTTTTTTCTTCCCCAAGAAGTACAGTCCCTGTACCTCTGCCAGTTTAGAATTCGCTTTATAGGTTTTTTCATACATATACATATACATATACATATACATATACATATACATATACATATACATATATATAATATTCCCATAGCTTCTTTAACATAATTGGAAATTTTGTTCATTAATACAGAATTGGGTGACCAGCACTACATTATATGGGACAGCAGAGTAGAGGTGAAAAACCATGGACATAAATCAGGAGAAAACACAAAATTGTTAAGGTGTTTTTTTTTTTTACTTGGAGGTAGTCACTAATAACAATTTTTCTGCAAGTCAAAGTAGTGGTTTTTTTTAGGTTGTTAATTCTACCAACAGTACTCAAATAGAGAAAGAGAAGTAAGGAGGGTTAATTTAAAGGCTTAGTTGAAAATCATTAGGAAACTTGAAATGATTTTTGATTAGGTTCTTAAGTCTAAGCAAAGTAATGACAAAACTCTTTTAACTAGCCTACTTAGCTAGGTGCAAAAAAAATGTTTAGTTGATCACTTGCATGACCAGATAAATGGAAGAAAATTCAGAGGCTTAGGCTAAAATCTAAGCTGTTAGGGACGTATTCACAACAGCTGGCTTTAGCCTTCCAAGACTAATTATTCCAAGATCTCTAACTGATAGAGATGGAGAGGGTTGGTCTTTCGTAATGCAAATCAAAAATGTAAAATTACACTTCTGCATTGAATTACAGTCTGGAGGGCCTCGTCTCTGTCTATTGGATAAAGAATTGCAGGGAGTTAACACCTCCCTGCTTTTTTTTTTTTTTTTTTTTTTTTTTTTTTTTTTCCGTCACGTACACTCAGGTTCCAGTAATGTTATGGATATTTGGGTTTCTTAAGTATGCAGGGTCATTTTGACATACTGGAGGGCAGGTTAGGGACATTCCAAGGATCTCTGTGAGTGCGCTGAGAGCTTGTGTTTTTTCACAGTGAACTGTTAGGAAATCTTGTCTGCTTCTCTTAGTATGAAATAAGAGAAAATAAATGGTCAAAGCGATGGACTACAAGTACGTATGACTTATGTTTGTGCTACAGAGTGGGTAGGTTACCAGCCTAAATAATAGCCATTTAGGCTTGACCAATCTGATGCAAGTAAAAGTAGTTGACCTTAAGTCAGAGGTTTGTATGTGTTAACAGAAAAGGACCATTGGAACCAGAGGAAATTCACTGTGAGCAAGATAAAGGTTGAGAAAGAAGCAAAAAACGTCAGTAGATCCCAAGTGGAAAGGACAGCAAACCCTGATACAGACAAATGCAGTCTGCAATTCAAGCCAACTGACATACCAGTAATAATAATAATAATAATAAAGCCAAATAGAGCCCCAAGATTCATCTTTTTGATGAATTTCTGTTTTCAGTTCAAGTCCATATCTAAAGTAGATGGGACATGGAAAGAGAGGAGTGACCATTTAGCAATGGCCAAAAGCTCTAAAACCTATGTCTTCACCTACACCACAAAAAGAGAGTCCAACAGAGTGGAGAAAATACCTTTTATATGCAAGGTTATTTCTGGTATAGAAGTGAGAGCAGAGCAGTCACCCACACACATAATGAAGGTGATCTCCTGGTAACACTGTTTTTCCTATAATTCTAGCTGTGCATTTAATACGCTAGTTTTGATAAAGTGAATCAATGTAGAGGCCTCCAAACCAGAGTGCTGGCAGCAGAGGATGTCTCTGGATACCTTTCCTTTCTTTTGCCAGCTGGATAACTGGCACTGCCAGAAAATCAGCACAAAAATGGCTATGCAACATAATTAGATGAGGCCCTGTGTTTCTAGCATACTTTGCAAGGTATCTTTGCTTTGCACTCAATCATAACAGCCTGCTGAGCAGACCTGCTGCAGTTTAATTAAAGCGTCTGGGTCCACCTCCTGTTCCTCTTTAATAACATTAGTCAGAAGTGAATTGTCTGGTGCCTGCCTCTTCCAGGCTAGCGTGAGCTGCTGATGCAGAGCTGGCCAGATTGGTTAATTGCACCCCTGACTTTTAAAGGTCAGGTCTTACAGAATCTAATAACACTCAGAAGATTTCCAAAACAAGGTAAATTGGAAAGAAGAGTCTGGATTCCTCTGATGTGACGCTGCCTACTGAGGCCTGGGACAGATCAACATCTCCTGCAGCTCCCCAGCTGAGCAGTTGGCTGGTCCTGCCAGCAAGGGCAACAGCCAGGCTGGAAAGGGCGTTTGCAAGGGCAGCTTCATCTCTGATTTTGAGCAGCTGGTAGAGTTGCACTGACTTCTGGAAGTATGCACTAAAGGAAAGAGGGCAGAGCAAGGGAAAAGTTTATCTCAGAGAAAGCTGTGAAAACACATCACTACTCAGCTGATTTGTCTTTGTGTAAAGGATTGCATCATATCCCAAAAATTCTTCATCCTTAGCTTATCCTAATAGGAAAACTGAATAGTTGCTCAAGCAATATCAGTTGGAATAGAAAAATGCAGAAATTAAAAAAACATCTTGAGAAGACTAAAGGATGCACATCCTCATCTTCTGTCATGATCTAACTGTCCCAGTCCGGAAGAGAGTGGATGTGGTAAGGAGGACATGTAACTAGCATTTACAGTTTGTATGGTTTATTCAAAGCTAATAGCCATCATATTTGAAACGCAAATTATTGTCCGTTTTAACCTCCTTTATAGGAGAGCGTACAGCAATTTGCGTTGTAAGCACCTGTCTTCTGGCAGAGCAAAAGGGACAGCTGAGGGCAGTTGTTGCTCTTTTCCTCTCCCCAGGATGCCTGGAGGCAGCAGGCTGGAAACTCCCCTCGTGGGAGGGAAGGGTGGTCCTCGGCTGGGTTGCTCCTTCTTTCCTCCCATACTGTTTATTTTCCTCTTCATGCAAACACCTGAAAGGAGTTTAGGCTGTAAATCCTAAAAATATCCAGTCCTCCCTCTGTTCCTAATTCATCTTGCAGTGAGCCAGGTGGTCTTCACTGTAATAGCCACAGATAAGGGGAAGTCTTAAGAGGTATCGAAGAGCTCTTGCGCTGCTTGCAGAGGAAGAGGAGTCAGTCTATTTAGTTACAGCTAGGACTTCCTCTTCTCTTGGCAGATAGCCTTGTTTAAAATCTTCCATTTGCCATTCTACAACTGAGTTTATACAAAATGAGTGGGGTAGATATGTATTTTTGGTCTTTCTGTAGTTGATGATTTTCTAACGTTGTTTATCAATTAAAACATTACAAAATGTTTGAATAGCTACTTATATTTGTTTCTTACTTTTCTTTTTTCACTCCTACTTATCCTACTTTTAAGGGTTTTTCCTTTTGAATTTCAGCTTTTTTTTTTTTTTTTTTTTGAACGTGCTTCTTTTCAACTGACTTCCATGTAGATGATGTAGTTTGGGTAAGGAGATGTTTACAAACTGATATTAAAACACTCTTCTTGTTTGTCCAAAACATAAATTGAATAAATAGTAGTTACTAGTTTACTGACATATTTCTTTGCTTTACTTGTTTTTTGCAAACAATGTAGGGGTGTTTGTACTATAATTAAGAACATTTAGAATATTCTAAAAAGAACTTACTGGTTTGTTTTCTCTAGAAAGTTATGTTTCTGCAAGAATAAGATTTAGAAGGTAGTTCTAGGTTTGCACGGTATATTGCTGCTTTCCTGATTATTTATCTCCTTTATTTTTTATTGTTTTATTAGGTATTCACCCACTGAGTCACTATCCTTTTTTGTTGATTATGCTCCAGCTCCCTCCACTATACCTATTTTTTCTAACAGTATGCCCTAATGTTAATAAAAAGAAGCCTAATGTAGATATATTCATGTTTCAAGTACTGAAGTACCTTTTATACTTTGGATGGTTTTTACTACCATCTTCCTACACTGATATGAACTTCTCTGCACCAAACCTACGTTCTTTACAATCATACTGCATTACAACTTCTGTATCCTTTGTAATTCAATGCAGCTTCCCAATCACTTCTGGTATTGTTTTCCAGATTTCTCAGCTAGTCCCTGTGTTACCTTCCTTCAGCTATCACCTCGATTTTATATGAGTTAATTTTGAGTTCCCAATTCCTTTGTATGTACCTAATATCCTTCAAGTTAATTTTGTCAGTCCTGATAATTTATCACTGATAAGTAACCAATAATGTTTCCTGTTTTCTAGTCAGTGTTTCACAATTACTTGCATGTAGCTTCTATCCACGTTATGTTTTTAGCTATATAAGCAAGCTAACAGAAATATCTGATATTTGCTCTTAGATAATTCTGTTTTCACCCACAGTTCTACAAGATGATACCTTCACTAGAAGAAAACATTTCATGATAAATAGAAGGTACACAGATGCAACATAACTCTCTGGAAGCCAACCTTCAATGTTGACACAGGAAAAAAAAATCTCCAGTTCTGGATTCCATCAGGTAACGCTACTATGTGACATTTTCCTGCATAGGCTGAAATTATTCTGTAAAGTTAAGACTTTATTGCCTATATTTTTTTCATAATATCTAAAGTATATTACATTCATAAAGTAAAATGTGCTGAGAAAAAACAGCACTCAGATTCACTTTGAATACTATCTTGATTTCATCCAAATTAATGTTTATTTATTTCGGTTACTTGAAGCTTCCTTGTAAACTGAAATTGCTCAGCACTTCTTTTGAAGTTTGAAATAGTTCAGTTAACATACTTTTTCCATTAGTTCTTCATCTGCTTCTGTTCTTGTTTGTTTTGAATGAGACCAGAAGAAAATACTATGCTTTCCTCACAGATGGTTCTCTTAAGATTCTGATTTTTTGTGCTACTGGAGATGTCTTGATGCTTTGTTACAACCTATTTCTGCACATGCAACCCCTGTGCTGGTACCTACATGCAGCACTAAATAATGCTCAGTGTACAAGATCATGAATCGCAGCTTTACTATGTAAGAACACTAATTTGGCAAGCTTTCCTAGCATTGCAGAATTTCAAAGCAGGAATTGATCAGATTAAGTATTCTTTCAATTTGATGTCAGATTATTCTCTTGTAGCATTACCCCTCACTTAGAGCAACAAACACTGCTAGGTATATGAGAAGAAAGATATGCCAAAAATTCAGAGGACTTTTGCCAGCCGGTGTTCCATTTGATTTCTAGTTAAGTGTGTTCGAAGACCTCTCCATATTTGTCTAAACAGTGTCCTATCTATTTTGGAGTTGGGTTAGGAGTAAATATATACTTAAAATCATTGAATGGTTTGGGTTGGAAGGAAACTTAAAGCAAAAATTTCCATGCCCTGCCGTGGGCAGGGATACCTCCTGCCAGCCCAGGCTGCCCAAAGCCCCATCCAGCCTGGCCTTGAGCGCTCCAGGGATGGGACAGCCACAGCTTCTTTGGGCAGCCTGTTCCGGGGCCTCATCACCCTCTGAGTGAAGCATTTCTTCCTTATATCTAATATAAATCTACCTTCTTTTAGTTTAATGCAATTACTTGATCTTGTAAATTCTGGATTGCTTGATTTTACTCGACATCTGGTGCTTAACATTCCCAACTACCCACCAGTGCTGTCAGTCCTATGTACCTTTTTTATGCTGTGCACTCAGGTGCTTCTTATAAGATGTGGATTAGACATTACTGTCAGCGTGAGCCCAGCATGTATATCCATGAAAAAAAAAACCTCAGTCTTGACAGTGCTTCTCTACAAGTATAAATCAGTATTCTTTCATAAAACCCTCCAATATCCTACTACCTATAATTACAGATCTTTATTGAAGACTATAAACCATTTCATGCTTTTGATAAAGAAAATTGTGATTATATTCTATGGATGTGCAGTATGCAGGTTAACCAGCTGCTGTTCTGAGTATTATTTCCCTTTATTGTTCTAAATTATCTGTACCAGCTGTTCATCTTTCCAGAGTGATGTTGTAACATTGAAACATGAGAGAAACAGGAAGCACTGACTAAATGTTACTTTTTTTTCTTCATAATTATATGCTCTCTCTTGCTCCTCATCTGTGCTTATTGTTTTTATCCCACACTGAGTAGACTCAGGTGTGAACTTTGCTTTTCTGTAGTGTGTTAAAAATACTGTACTGAAGAAATATTATTTTGATTAAATAAAAAAAAATACTAAATCTTAATTATTAGTTCAGGCATGACTGAAGCAGTCAAGTGATTAGTATTTAGGAATGATGGTAAGGATGTGTTATTGTGCAAAATAACTTTATTATCGTGGTAGCTATGTTAGATCCTAGACCTGTCTAATGCACTCATTTATCAACATTTTCTCACAAACCTAAGGCACACGTGTATACTTCTCTTCCAATATACGAAGGTTTGAAGAGGATGAAATCTATGTCCATCTTTAAAGACTTGGTTCCCCTGCTGTGGGCTTCAGCTGCCATTAAAGCACAGATTCTAGTTGAAATTGAAGCTCAAAAAGCTGTTACACTGCAGAGAATTCATCACCAGGAGAAGCTGCATTGCTGGTACTAGTGGGAGTAGAGGACTGACAGCTCCTACAGTATAGAACTGTATTTTTAAGCAGCAGAGCTTGAGGATTTGCTGGAAAGTTACTCCTATTTCACCCTTAGGACATAACCAGGAATCATGTGCAAGTCTTTCAGTCTGGGAGTTTCTGCTTCTGTAGACTGGTCCTGAGAGCTGGATTATGCAAGAAAGGAGCAGACTCTGTAGGGAGACATCCCAATCTGAGCTGCAGCCAAGTGTGAGGCAGCTCTGGAAAATCAATGCAATTGATGAAGCTTGACATTTTAATTGTCTTTTGTTTGCAGAACTAAATTAGGTTATGAAGAACAATGATCAGTGGCTGTGATTAAAAGTTTGAAATGTGCCAAGTATCCTGAGATTTGAACTAGACTGTGAGTGTACATTGTATGTAAGTGCTAGGTTTTAAGTGGCTGTAAGCAAACAGGGGCCAAGAAAACAAGTGAGATTTTCAAAGCCAAATGAAAATGCTTTTCCTCCTCCGCATTGTCCCTGAAGAGCTATTGTGTTAGAATTTGGTTTCCAAAGTTATCACTAATTTGTGAACTAGCAGGATTTTAATTCCGCTTTAAGTGGAATCGTCAATACACCTGTAATGCTAGAGTCCCTAGTGGCACTTCTGTAATGATATCTCTATACTATATTTGACTTGCACCATAGTAGCAAATAATTTAAATGGAAATTAAACGAATGTAAAAGAACATGTATGTGTCCTTGAACTCTGAGCTCTGCTAAGACCACTCTATTTATTTGTTTTGTTTAAAAAACCAATCAACCAAACAAAAAACCTCTAGCATGATGAAGTCTCCTAGCTGAAAGGTGCTTGGTGTTTTCCTCCTTAAATTCACTTTCTTCTACCAGGAAAGAATATGTGATGCCAAAGTAACCTTGAGTCCAGATAAACAGCTAAGTGTTCCTATAGTGCAAAACTCCCTATGGTTTTATTGCTCCCTTGAAATACAATTGCTATAGAAGTGTCTGGGAAACTGTACTAAAACTGTCCCTTTGAATGTATTAATTAGAATCTGTCAAGCATATTTTGACTGGAAACAGTTCATGACACAATGAATACATTTTTGGCCTTAAAAGGATACTAAGACAGGAACAACAACAAAAATTAGTTAATACTTTTTGTGTATTTTTGTTTCTAAAGTTAGATAGCATAAGTCTCAGCAGGGACTACTCTTGATCTACTGACTACAAGGTCTACCTTGTCCCATGAAATTCTCAAAAACAACAAAGCTCTTTATTCTGGGTTTCAGGCTTGGGTTGTTTGGGGCCTGAGTGTTTACTCTCCAGAGACTTGTATTCATCAACCACACATGAACATGGCCTGCTGTTAAGCGATT